AAATTGTTCTTAACTGCATGTTTTCTGTTTCTAGAACATGTGCAGAAAGGTGGTGATCATGTGCTGTCTATTTCCTTTAAGAGCAAACTGCTTCCAAACTTCATTTGTTGAGGTTGTCTTTCCTCGGAATTTATTTGCATATTGCATCTACAGTTTGCATAAAAAATGCCTTTTTGTCATTATATAAAAAAGATGGTACTTGGTTTATATTTCTAATGTTTATTAATCGTTTTTAATCTACTTGTTAGTAAACCTTGCTCTTTAAGTCTTGTATGGACAGGCATATCTCAACTCAACAAAGATGCATAAAAGAATAATGTACAAGATGCAAGTATGGCAAAAAAATGATCTAAAGTACTCAACTCATTCGCGCCACCATTACTAAGATGGAAGTATGCCAAAGCAAAGCCAAACATCTTTTTTTTTTTATGAATGATAATAAATTTATTAATTCAGAAGCAGATTTAGAGTGAGTTCATACAACATCCCAAGGAGAGGTGAGAGCTGCAGCCCCCCCTTGAATCTTACAAGTAAACTAGGAAAGAAAAGCAAGAAGCACAACTGTCCAAAAGACTACAAAAAATGGGCATAATAAATTGTATCCAAAGAAGATATGAAATTACACATGTAAATTTTGAACAAGTAATGGTTAATTTTTAATATGAACAAAGAATGATGTACAAACTGATTTTTTGCTCCACGTCTCAATATAATACTTTACCATTTAAACATATATGCAAATAAAAGAATGGTGTACAAACAGTTTTGTGCCAAGAACATCTGATGTTGGCCTAGCCCCTATTACCCACCCCATTCATTTCTTTTTATAATATATAATCTTTGGGAATCAACCCCCAGTACAGCAAAGTTTTTATTTATTCCTTATCTTAGCATTAGCATTACATGGATAATGAATAAATAGCATTTAGGATCATTCAAACTGTCTTTTCAAGATGAAGGAACAAGGTGACCCTTAGCAGGTAAATCTCAAGACAGCAAACTCCAAAATACCACCTAATACAAATTATAGAACAATCAGGAATACACAGAACTAAAATGCACCAATGAACCAGGCGAACCACCAGCCACCAAAAAATCCAGACCAGGAACTTTTTACTTCTTTACAGTCCTCCTAGGCTTCAATGATTTCTTGTTTGGCCCAATCCAAATAGGCCCCTTTTCAACCTAGTAAAGACAATTGAGTCCAAAACCTCAGTGCTTCCTCTTCCTTCTAAATCTGCTAATTGCTAAAGACTAAAGAAATTGTGTAATTTTCTTCAGGGCCTACATCATTTTCCTTAAATGGCATAGGATATTTCTCTACCAACTATTAAAACAACTTCCTGACACAGTCCTCACCCCAAGAACAATTAAACCCTAAGCTTTTCTTCTGTATTCACAACCTCTTCCAACTGTTAAAGCAACTGATTTTTCAATTGCATGGGCTTCATTGTAAGGCAACCTCCTCGTTGCTTGAATCTCCATCATTCTCTTCCTCTTCCTCTAATCCTCCTCTTCTGCTGATGTATTCTTACCCTTTAAAGCTGGAAAAGTTCTATAATTACTTTTCCTTTTAAAAGTCTTTAAACAAGAACCTGCAAAGTTCTTTTCTTCTACCCCTAACTTCTCACTTTCAAAATCTTCAGGCTCCCCTCCCTGCTTTTCCAACTGAAAAAATTCAATATTTTCCTTGTTGCCTTGGTTATCTTTTTCACTTGTTGACAAAACATTACCAACACCTTTACCACTAACAGATTCTTCAAGAATCACCAAATCCCCCTTGTCTGATGTAGTAGGCTGATCCATCCCAGTTGAAACCTTGTGTGAACCCTCTTCAATTTCTCCAGAGGCTTCACTTCCACTTCAGTACCAGCACCAATGGTTTTCTTGTTTACCTCCCTTTGTACCTCCGTCTCCAGTGATGCCTAGTCATCACTTGATGAACCTTTCCCTCAATCTCAAAACCCTCCACCTTCTCCCCTTCTCAATCCGCAAAACTTGCAAACCCTTTTGCTTTATCAGCTTCGAGGTTTTTCAAATCATGGATGTAAATTGGGGACGATGAAACTTCAACTATAATGTCTCTCAACTGGTTCACATGATTAATTAAACTTCAACCATGTGCGCCATGGACCAGACCAACCGGTTATTAGGAATGAGACTGCCTCCTTTAACCACTTTCTCCCAACCTCAAAACCCGACATTGTTTCGCATATATGGTCACCTGGCCCAGCAAATATCTGAACCCTCTCCCCATCCAAGTTGAAAATTTCTTGAGACTGATTGTTACCTGACCCACCCCGTGACATCCGTTGATCTACCTACCCTTTCTTTCCTTGCACATTTTAGCTAGGACTAACATTACAATGGGTTTTTATCAAGACTACTGGGAGCTGTTGAAAGAGGATTTAGTTGAAGCCTTTAAGGAATTTGCAAATAATCACACCTCCTTTAACCACTTGTCTCTAGTTGAAGTCTATAAGCCCTGGAATCAATGCCACCTTTTTGGCCTTGATACCTAAGAAGAATGATGCCAACCACCCAAAAGATTATAAGCCTATTAGTCTGGTGACAAGCATCTATAAAATTCTAGCTAAAGTGCTCTCATTGAGGATCAAAACAGTTCTCCCCTCTATCATTAGTGAAACCCAGGGGGCTTTCATTCAAGGGCGGCAAATAACAGATCAGATCTTAATTGTGAATGAGTGTGAGGAGGAAATGAAAAGGTTTAGGAAGAGAGGTTTCATTTGTAAATTGGATCTTAAAAAGGCCTATGATGATTTGGTATTAGAGGTTATGCAAAACTGTGGATTTGGGGACAAGTGGTGTAGTTGGATTTTTGGGTGTATCAGTACTTGTSACTACTCTATTCTGGTAAATGGTATGGTGAGGGACTTTTTTTCCAGCTTGCAGGGGTGTCAGGCAAGGGGATCCGCTCTCCCCCTTCCTTTATACCTTAGTAGCTGATGTGATTAGTAGGATCATTACTAAGGCTGACAATGAAGATGCCATTAGAGGTTGGAGAATAGGGAGAAACAAAGTCCCTGTCACCCACCTTCAGTTTGCAGATGACCTAATGATACTTTGTGAAGGAGGTTTTAGCGAAAAGGTAGCAAACCTAAAGGAGCTAGTAAAAGGTTTTGAAAGTATCTCTAATTTGAGAATAAATCTGGAAAAGAGCTGCATAGCGGGTATAAATTTGGAGGTAGAGGAGGTCGAGGCTATTGC